TTCAGTGTGATGAACATTAAAGTCACCGACAACAACAATATTGGCTGATGGATAAAGAGAGAGGGGTTGGTCAATATGATTAGAAATAACATCAAGAAGAGTGCAGTCTTGAGATGAAGGAGAGCGATATAGAACAAAGAAAAAGGCAATAGAGTGAAGTAGTGCTAAATGAAAACACATAAAAGAGTAGTCTGTGGATTCAAACCTAGTTTCCCGACAAATGGGTGAGTTCTTACAAATGTAAATGCCCAGGCCAAACATGTGACTATTGGAGTCTATGAGTTAAAGGAAGATAACCATCAACACTAAGATCACAAGATGAGACAGCTGAACTCAAATTAGTCTCATAAAGAGCAAGTAGATCTGGTGAACTTTGCAAGAGATAAGACTCAACAGAAGAAAAGTTAATTCGAAGACCACGAATATTAGTGAATGATAGGTTTAGCGAACTTGGTGATGACAGTGGTCTTTTGTGTTTTATAGTTTTTGTTACTTTATTCATTTTTAAATTTATTAAAAAACTTGACTTAAATCAGATAGTACTCAGTACACTGTTTAACAGCCCAAGTAATTGCCTCATTACTATTAATAAAACTTAAGCTGTAACAAAGGGCTTCAATGTGGCCTTGGCAATGCACACCAAGAGTGCAAATAGGGATACCATCCATGCCCAACATGGCACTGTTAATACTTTGATATTTTTCATCTGTTGATGGAATCAGCCTCTCTGAGAGCTATCACATAGTTCGGAAAACCTGACTACCAGCCAGCCTCAGAACCATTAAATTGAGTTTTAGAGCTGTACCTTCATAAGGAGATAATAGAATGAGTTGACTAGTCTTAAAAACATAGACACAAGCAAAACCCATGCGTCTAGTCAAGAAGATCCAGCATTCAACATCCTAAACTGGAAACAATATATTAAAAATACATCTGCCTAATAGATGAAAAATTATGAACAGTAGTGTACTCGATGAGTCATCTACCCTTCATCTTCAAAGATTAACTCTGACTTCTGATTTTTCTTGGAAACCATTTATCAAATCCATTGCAATGTTAGCATCTGCTAAGGTTGTATCTCTTTATTGTGCTAGCTACTTTTTTACTCAGGATTCTATTCTTTATCTCTAAAAGTCTTAACTTCATCCTTGTATTGAATGTTGTTGCCATATCTGGGTGGATCTTTAAATGATGCCCTTTTTTTCTTATAGGCAAGGTGCTTAAATACATTTTATACATAGTATGACCTCATCAAGAAGAGAAGTATCTGGCATTTTTTTTTTTTTTTACATTTTATATTACATTTACATTTATTGATTTTAAACTTATCTCTTTGTATAGTTTAGATCCATAAGTCATATAATTGCTTTCTTATATTACAAAAAGACAAATGCAGGTCCTGATAAAAAATGGTTTAAAAAAATATTTAAAGATCAAGTGATTGCAGATATCTCTACATAATAACTTAGGCTTATTCGTTTATGAAATAATTATATTTTTGCATACAATATAAAAACATAAAAATAAAAAAAACTGTTTTTCAAAACAATTAGCATCGGCCAATGGTTACCAGACTGAATCCAAGACCCACAAAGTTTTTGATCAAATAAATTAATGAATTATTCTTCTCCAAAAATTTATGTTTATAAGATTATGTTTAAATTATAATTTATGTTTCTGTTATGTCGATAAAGACATATTTTGTCTTTATCGACAAAACAGAAACATCCTATTTTCTGAATGAGATCTTTTTAAAGACTAATTTTGTGTACTAAAACATTTTTATTTATTAATTTTTGAATTAGATTATTAAAATTTTATAAACCTATACACTAACAAATTGTTTAACATAAACAAGTTATCAGACAATCGGCGTAACATAAACAAGTTATCAGACAATCGGTTTTTTACTTGATATCAAAAAAACAGGCTTTAAAAATCACGTACTAAGTAAATCTCGATTTATTTTCAAAAAGTATAAAACTTATTAAACCCTATTGAAATTATTAAAAAAACAGCTGTTAGAAAATGCGCATTTAACCGCAAGCCACACTAAATTTAAATAGTTCTAAGTGCTAAATTTAGCTAAACTGCTAAAAACACAAATATATGCTTTTAAATTCTTTTTGAAAAGAAAATTCAAAAAATTATTTTAAATAGTAATCTTCATTATAGTTAGTTCTCCTTTAATAAATTCTATAAAAACACATCAAAGTTAACTTTATCTACAATTATATTGCACGGGTTCCACACAACAAAATATGTCACACTACACCTGGTAACAGCCATTTGTAACATACATTGACTGTAATGAGTCAGGTTAGTTTTAAGTTTTAACTTTGTCAAAACTTCACGAATAGTATCTATTTTTGCCTTTTGAACTGCAATAAACAGAATACTTTTTGGCACAATTTCTCAAGAGCAGAAGCAACATGTTGATATTCAATAATTGTACTTTGTTGTTTGATAGATAGACGACTATATATTTTTTTGATATTGTAACCAATTTTCGCCTTATTTTTTTGTTAGATTAATTCTCCATTAAAGTTATATCTTTGATTTAAGGTTCTTTTCGAACCATTTCTTACAACAGCTTCCCGTTGATACATTGCTGCAAAACATGATAACAGATTTGGTTTATGCTAACCATGCATATACAATGATAAGTTTTTATTTTTTTCTGACACCACTTTTTTCTGACACTAACCACAGTTTATGATATGCATTATTAATAGATTGTGATCTCCGACATGCTGATTTGAATATGCATTAATTACTGCCTATTAAATTATGACACCCAAGTGGCTTAAGCTATGAAGATTTATAGTAGCTGTATGCTTTTAAGATTTTATAATCCCTTAAGTCTTTACTTTCAATACTAACCTACTTGATCGGTTAAATGTTAAATATATCTGGATATAACAACATTGGCCAAAATAGCATACCTTCTCCTTCCTCCATCCATTCTTCAAGAATTTCAAACGAATCAGATATCTGTATACCTTTTAATTTTAGTTTTAAATGATGTTCTTTTTAAAAATCTGCCTCAACTTCTACTGATGTTTTTTTAGGTAGTCTATGAAGGCTACCTTTAAAAAACATTTTGTCTATTGAAGCAAATACACGAGCCACCGCGATTTTTTTACCGTTTTATTTTATTCCGCTTATCTTCAGATAAGAAGATGAAAGTCTAAGAGTTTCTCGCCAACTTTCATCTTCGAACTCGCATTGGTTGGGCTCAGTACTTTCCATCCGAATATACTAAGCAATAACTCGAGAAATACTTTTTTTTTTTTTTTTTTTTTTTTAATAACGAAATTTGTTGCATCATTTAAAGTTTTTAAGCAGTTTGTACAGATTTCAGAGGACGCTTAGAAAGTAATAGAATTTTTTTGAGAATAGGTGCCATCATGACCGATGCTGCTTTCCATTTTTGCTTAAATTTTTTGCTATTTTTTACTAATTTTTTGCTTTTTAACAAGATTCCTTTTACAATTGTCTAGTAGCTCTTGACAACGCGCTGCTCAGGGCAGTTTGAAGGGTTTGCATCTTTTGCGATGATTTTGATGCCGTTTTGATTGCTCTAATTAGAGTAGTGGATTGTTGCTAAATCCAAAAGATATTTGCCTTGTTGTGTTTGATAATAAATGGCAAAAGACGTTTTGAAGATATTTAGAAGTCTAAGTCTTGCTAATAACGAATGGAGCACTATTAAAGCCACATGAGCAAACCTTTTAGTTTGAATATACTTAAATTCGTTTCTGACATAAACACCTTTTGAATGATAATAATATTGATGGCCGGGCAACTGAGAGAAATCCTTTTTGCAGTACGCATCGTCGTCCTCAATAATGCATAGTTTTTCTCGGTTAAAAAGTTTGACAAAGTTCCTTGCACGGCAAATTGCTTTTAATTCTCCATCAATTGATCGCTTTTTTTTTTTTTAGTGTAAGCCGTTAAACCTTTGCTCTAGAGTGCTATTCTGAAAAAGAAACGACTGCATTCGAACTTTTTGGCGAGGTCTCATTAGGATTGACATGGATTTCTTGTAAATGACCGAATTCACTTTGTTTTTGTCAACAAAACTTTTTTTCTTTTCACCGCCTCTTTTTCTTTCGATTGTTTGATGTTTCTTGTATCGCCTCAATATGACTCCTGAACTGAAGATTTAGCGACTTTTGAAAACTTTGCAACTTTTGAATGTGAGTAGGTTGGATTTTGAGGGAAAATCTCTAAAAATATTTTCCGATTATTTGATTGTTTAGTCGCTTTATGCTGATAAACTTATAGTATTAGTAAAACCCCAATACAATTAAATATATGTATATAGAACGTCATTATAAAAAAAAAAATTTGAAATTAGTTCGTTAAGTATTTCTCGAGTTATGCCAAGTATATCCGGCTGGAAAGTACTGAGCTCAATTGATAATATGTTTTGAAAAGATACGTCTAGCTATTTTACAATTTGTGAATATTGTAACAGTTGGTCAGTTGGTAGAGAGCAGAATCAGTTGGTAGAGAGTAGAGTCAGATCGTACTTATTATTTTTTGAATTTTATGAACAACGCTAAAAAGTTATCATAAGTCACCTGTGCATAACAAAGCATAACAAATTATTCATAAAAACTGTTTCTTTTTTATTTGCGGTTATATTTATTTTCAAATTTTATTATTCGATAAAAGGTCTTCCGCAAATAACGTCACTTAATTTATTGACGACTTTTTTGACGACTCATACGTAACGGATACGACTCAACTCTTTGGTTTTTTGACAACTCATTCGGAACTTGTTACTAAAGTAAGATCTCCCTTCCCCCTCCCTCCCTATGGTGTGACGTAATTTATGGACGACCTCTAATATAAATTTATATCTTTTTAGAGTTGATTTTTATTTCAGTTTAATTTTCATTTTCCTGGAAAATCATTCACGTGTATTTTTTATTTAAATATATGATGTTAAAACTTTAAAGTTTTGCATAAGACAAATATTTTATTTTTAGTCGCAAGCGTGGTTGGTGAAAATAACAACAAACAGACGTTAACATATATAGCAATATTTGTTTCTATTTTGGCGTTTCTCTTAGGAATATTTTTCGGTGTTTTTATTCTTAAATGCTTTATTCTGAAATCTGAATGTCGTGATTATCAAACAAAAGGTAACTTTTCTACAAAATAAAAATTAAGTAGTTAAGAAATTAAAAAAAATTTTTTTCATGTTCTTTTATTCATAAATTATATTTATAAATTTTCATTTCGTAGATTGTGGAATGCAAAATAGTGCTTATACCGGTAGTACAGATTTTAAAAAAGGAAACGAGATAAATTACATCGAAAAAATTAACAATAGTCACGTTTAGTTTAGTTTAGTTTATATTTTAAACTTTTTGTTCTATTTTATGCTGATTTGTATCAGTGGTTAAGGACCTTTTTTGAAAATAATAAATTTAAGTAACCTTCATATTTTTCAAAAATGAACGATGTTTATTTTAAGGTTATTTAAGGTTTTAAGAAGTTTTCTTGTTATTATGTTGAATGTGATCCTTTTGGCTCAAAAATTTTTTAAATATAATTTGAGTTAAGCTTTTTTACTTTCGTACAGTATTTTAATAAGTTATTTAAACAAGTTTTTGAATTTATTTAAGGTTTGGAATAATACTTATGTTTTTATTTATCAATTGTAAATACTGTTCTTTTTATATTTATATTTGTAATTATTTTTTAAATACTTTTGGTAATTATTTTAGCAAGTGTAGTTTTTAGCGTTGTTATTTTTCTGTCTAACATCATTTTACAATGCTGCCTAACAGGGTCGACGACACGAGTTTCGAAGTGGTGGAACACAATCGATAATTTCTAAATAAAAGTCCTCTATATCTAGAAATTAAAAAAATTAAAAATAAAAAAAAGGTCCTAAACAGCGACTTGCAGAAGAACTTCAGGTCTCTGGGTTTTTTATTTTTTTTTTATTTTGAGCTGTCATCAAGAACCACTTGTGAAATATCTATTCATTAAAAATGAATTATTTATTTTAACATAGGTTTTAAAATTTTAAATGAATATATCGATTCTGAAAGCTCACAGCACAGGTTTGAAGACGTTAAAAATGAATTATTTTAACGTGAGATTTTAACTACATTTCGTTAAATAGTGTTGGCTAGAGTGCTTGTTAGTCTTTTGCACCACTTAATAAAAAATTTCTATAAGAAATTTTTTAAATATGGTACCCTAAAAAAGTTTTATTTAATGAAAAAGTAGTAGCTGCGAAATTTGAGTCTGATCAAGTAAGGGGAACACGTGTCACACATCAGTAGTACTTATGACAACAAATGTTTTTACTGTTATGTGTAGTCTTTAATCATGATAACAATTTTAGGTGATCAGGAAAAAATGTGTTCGAAGTTTAAAACTTTAAATGAATATATCGATTCTGAAATGTTACAGCACAGATTCACAGATTGCACCTGATTCTTAATCTGTTTGTTGTTTTCGGATTAATTTTTGAACATAAAAATAATTTGTGTGTGTGTGATTGTGACAAACATTAATAATATATATAATTATATATACGGAAAAACTGTTGTTATATATAAATACATATAAGTATTATTTATATATATACCACAACACTTATCCGAAGCATAAACCTCAAATCCAATATTCAGTCATCTAATTACATCTTCAACATTCCAAAATGTCCGCTAACGAATTGTATGAAACATCGTCCATTTTACCTTCTTTAAACCCAATAGACCTGCTTGAAAATTGGCCGGGTCCTGGAAAAGGCAAGGCTGCTTATTTACCTAAAAGATGTGACGCCATAATCCGCTCTCTAGCTACAACAGTCAAATTACTGCTTGAAAAAATAGCAACCCTCGAAAAAACCAACGCCAACTTGCAAATTCAACTTAATAACTGCCAACCACCGGCAGTTTATCCTTCCGTTTCTCAACCAATCCTAAAATCTTTTTCTTCGCAACTTACCAAACCCGGATCAACCACAAACAATGCCAAACTTGATCAGCCCTTTTGTTTTGTCATCCGCAGCGACAGAGTCAAATGCATTGACGTTAGCAAAAAAGTCAACATCAATGGCTTGGAAAAATACCCGTTCATCAACTGGAAAGGAGCGCGCACGGCAGCCTAAACCAACCAATGAGAAGTCACAACATTCAACTCATGACCGTTTCCATATAATTAATAATTTTTCTTCTCCCACTTCACAAAGCAATGCTTCTAAATTGTTACTAAACTGCTTCTATGCAAACGCCACATCTCTAAATCCTAATAAACTCACCGAACTTGAATTAGCAACGTCCCTCTATGATTATGACACCATTTTTATCACTGAAACATGGTTTGACGAATCCTTAGCACCAGCTATTCCCAACTACAATCTCTTTAGAAAATATCGCTTTAGTCGTAAAGGAGGAGTAGCCATATATGTCAAGAACAGCATTATTGCCAACGAAATTGACTACTCTCAACTTCACATCGGTTTCCAATGCAATTTCTCAGAACAGATCTGGCTCGAACTTAAACTCTCACAAGAATCTCTCCTAATCGGCTGCATCTATCGCCCACCTACCAATAATGTTCTGGCCTTTAACGAAATAGTAAAAGCTACCTCCTACGCGAAATCGGCCGTAGAAAACAAAAAGTTTAATGGTCTAATAATCACCGGTGATTTCAACTTTCCCGACGTCATATGGGCCAATACCACCGGCACTGAAACTAGTTTTGGCACTAAATTTGCCGAAATCATTTTTGACCTACATCTACACCAGCACGTTATCAATCCCACCTTCATCCAAGCCAACGATCTGTTCAAAAATACACTAGACCTTGTAATTACCGAAACAACCGATCGATTAAGCCATATTACTATCGGTCCTCCTCTTGGTAGCGCCTTGCAAGGTCACTGCACTATGACATGGCAACACCAGCTGGCCAAAAACGTCTGCAACTTTCCCCGTTTTAACATTTCAAAATTTATATATAGGAAAGGTAATTACGCGAATCTAAACGAGAAACTCTCCCAAGTCGATTAGGTTAGTTTATTTAAAGACCGATATGCCGACGAATGTTATCAAATCTTCTGCGACAAATATATCAAATAATGTGACAAGTTTATTCCGCGTGTCACCTCCAAACCGGCCATACACAGGCAGCCTTGGCTAACCAGCGAACTTTTTTTACTAATTAAACGTAAGAAAAAACTTTGGTACCTCAACCGCAACAGCAAATGGCGAATCATTCTTCTTGTCAAAGAGTATAACCAAACTCAAAACCTTGTCAAAAAAGCTTCCTGCACTGCAATTAGAGCATTTGAGCACAAATTAGCTAGCGACAAATGGAACCCTAAGCGTCTATACGCTTATGTAAACAACAAAAGTGCCGTCAGTAACCAGATAACTTTTATGTACTCACCCGCTGGGGAAATAAATAGCGACCACGCATCCATAGCAAATATACTTAACAGCCAGTTTCAGTCAGTATTCACAATCGAACCATCAGATCAACAACTACCTCCCTTTGTTAAACGTGCAATCACTTTAATCTCCTCCGTCATCTTCAGCTATGATTCCGTTCACAAACACCTATCTGCTCTCAACGCCAATAAATCAACTGGAAATGACGGTATCAGTCCATTTGTTCTTAAAGCATGCGCTGATGCGGCGGCTACCCCGCTCGCCATCATTTTTCAGAAATCGATGGATCAAGGTGTAGTCCCAAAAGCGTGGCTCTTGGCAAACGTGACACCACTGTTCAAAAAAGGCTCCAGACTCGACCCAGAAAACTATAGGCCTATCTCCATCACCTCAGTACCATGCAAAATAATGGAAAAAATTGTTAAAGAAAAAATCATGCACCACCTTGTAGCTCATAAACTTATTGCCGATTGCCAGCACGGCTTCATCAATAAAAAAGCCTGCGTCACGAATCTGGGTGAGGCCATGGACTTTCTGACCAACAACGTTTCATGCAAGCTTCCAGTAGATGTTCTTTTTCTTGACTTCGCCAAAGCCTTCGATAAAGTCCCTCACAGAAGATTACTTCAAAAACTTGAATCCTACGGAATCGAAGGTAACGTTCTTAACTGGATAAAAGCTTTCCTTTCAAATAGATCACAGCGTGTCATATTAGGTAATACGTCATCCACCTAGGTAAAGGTTACCAGTGGCGTTCCGCAAGGTTCAGTGTTAGTTCCTACGCTGTTCATAATATTTATTAATGACTTACCCGAACACATCAGTATCGAAAACTTATGTAAAATGTATGCAGACGATACTAAAATCCTGAGTGTCGTCAAAACCACTGAAGACAAAGCTCGTCTGCAATCCAATATAGATAGCGTTGTTACCTGGACTCGAACCTGGTTAATGGAACTCAACATCAAGAAATGCAAAGTCATGCATTTCAGTAAGTACAATGTTTCCCCGCACATTTATTTAATGAACGAGTACGACGCTAACGGTAGCGTCACTAGAACAGTAATCCTGTCTTCAACATCCAAAAAAGATGTAGGTGTTCAAATTTCCAACGACTTAAAATATGAGAGGCAAGCACAAATAGCCGCTGCCAAGACTAATAAAGTCCTCGGGACATTGAAAAACACGTTTATAAGCAGAGATACCAAAATATGGACAAAACTTTACACCACTTATATACGCCCACATCTCGAGTTTGCAGTTACTGCCTGGTGCCCGCATCTTGAAAAAGACATAAATGTCATTGAGCGTGTTCAGCATCGGGTTACCAAAGTACCGCACGAAATAAAGCGCTTCGATTACAAGACAAGATGCATCAAACTCGTCTATTTAATCTCTCTTTAATAGAGAGATTAAATAGACGTCTACGCGGCGACCTCATTCAAAAATATAAATTCGAAAACAGTATCGACTCAATTAGCTGGCATATAGATCCACCTAACATCCCACCTAGCTACAGTCATCGCAAGCGCTTTCATCTTGAAATGGACAACAACTGCCTCGTTCGCTATAATTCCTTCAACAACCGCGTCGCTCACCCATGGAACGCATTACCTAACGTAGTAGTCAGTGCTACCAGTGTCGATCGCTTCAAAACAAAATTCGATCAGCTTTAATTGTTACTAGAGCGCATCATCTTCGTGCAATTTCGCACAAGCTAGCACGGCTAGCTGTTGATAGGCTTACGGAACACGCCCGCTCCGTGTAATTTAACTTTTAACTTAACTTAACAGATTTTAAATGGTTGATTGTATACCCCTGGTTTGCACAATTAAATTATTTAAAAAAAAAAAAAAAATTTAATTGGTTGATTGTACTTTTATAATATATTGATGGTTTTTCTTATAAAGTATTGATGTTTTTCTTATATATTGGTTGTATTTATTTATATATTTATTTTAATTAAACACAGTTTTACAATTATAATGATATGCAACTGCTAATGCTGTCTCAATTCTTAGGTTCTTATGTTCTTATTTCAAGGTTTACGAATATAAAAGTGCTGCAAACAAAAAAGTTTTTGAATGTATT